ATTTCTTGTATAATTCTTCAATTTGATCTACTATTATATTTATTTTATATATTTATATAATAATATTATAATGAATAACTGACTTTTAAGTATCTTCTAGATTTTTTGATGCTTAATAACTAATCTTTATTTTGTAACAGATTTAAAATTATCTATAAAATAAATAACTTGATTTAAATTACACATATCTTTAATTTAATTAACTATATTTCTAAATTTAACTTATACAAATTCAATCTGACAAAGAAAATATAATTATTAATAAAAATATTGCTAATAATATAATAATTGAATAAAATCTTATCAAATGATATAATATTATTCATAATCTTGTACTTGTTAAGATATTAATATAAAGCTACTTCTTTTAGCATAATGATATGTTGAATCTGAACCTTTTCATTTGTAATATCTTAAGTGACAATATAATTCCAACTTGCATAATTCAAACAAGAATATTTACTATAGGTTCTTCAATATAAGTTGGTAGTTTAATAGAAAGGTGAGGTGAAGATTTTGAATCAGTTAAACTTTCTCCTTTTATTGCTTTAACTAATTTGTTCATGCTATTCATGAATTCTTTGCACTGATTGGTTCTGATATTCTTCGGAACCAAGTCACAGTATCTGGAATCGGAGCTACGTATTTCGACTAACGTTTTCTTCGGAATTAACATGGTTTTCAATGCAAAACTTGTACACATCTCCCTTAAGTACCATCTGTAGAAAACAATGAATAAATATGCCTTTATATTGGACAAAGATTTAAGCTATATACCAATCCTTTGTCTTGAGGATACTTTCTTTTTTCGTGGTTCAACCGGCTTTCCTTCTTGAGGACGAACTCGCTTACGTTCTAGCAATATTATCATTATTCGGAGAAGAATACAGATATGTGAAAATGATGTCGTCATGCAATTCTGAAACTCGACCAATCATCTTGTTTGTATTGAGGTTTACAGCCGTGTTTAATGTATCTAAAAAAGATGGACAATTTCTCCAGAAGATGTCAATTTTAGCTGAATTTGTCTCTTTCTAATGAATAAAATGGAATGGAAAAGGACAAAACCCATTCAGACGTGTCCTAGCACCTTCTTGGTAAATTAGTAACAAATCACATTGCAAAGAAGTTATGCCCATTCAGACGTATCCTAAAGGTACCCGATAGACGTATCCATCGGCTGTCAGACATATCCTAGTACCTTCTGGGCTCTTCTTGATAAAAGTTCCAAGCCTTAAAGCTTACTCTTAAGCTGTTTCACTATACGGGGTTCTAATAGTTTCGGGTCATTCTAAATTGGAATATGTTCTATGCTACTGATTTCGGAAATAAAGATACGGAATATC